CGAAAAGTGAGTATTCACAGCCCCTCTTTCAAAGTATTTATTACGTTTTGGGGTGAAAAACACGATTGAATGTGTTATATGAGCTATTTTCATTATGAAAAGTGAGTTTCCACATCCCCTTTTTACTATTTTCGCGTTTTTGGGGGAAAAACATGTATAAAAATAGTGATGATTTGCATGCAATATTCAATGTGTATAAACTGTGGATGTAAATTGATTTTTTTATTGAATTGTGCTTTGAAATGAAATTGTGAATACGAGCACTAACACTTTGTACACTAGTAATAGTTGTGTTTGGGTTAATTAAAAAGTCCTAGTAGTTACACTACTTATTAACTCGTATGAGTCGATAGTTTAAGTGAATAGCGCTATTTGGATTGACAATCCTACCTTCTGCTGGTGAGTAGAGTTGCATTTAACTAAAACAAGAGTTCTACACATGTGGGGTTTAGTCCCACCGCTGAGGTAGTTCAGTATGAGTTCCTACACATGTGGGGTTTAGTCCCACCGCTGAGGTAGTTCKGTATGAGTTCCTACACATGTGGGGTTTAGTCCCACCGCTGAGGTAGTTCGATATGAGTTCTACACATGTGAGGTTTAGTCCCACCGCTGAGGTAGTTCTGTATTAAGGGCGTAGTTGTCGCAGGTTTAGTAGTGGCCCAACACGTAAAAATTACTTGGAGTACATTGTGCCTCGCATGAAAGTGTTGCGAGTAAGTAAAAGATTTACTCGAATTAAATATTGCTTAAAGATTTGTTGTGAAATGAAAACCTGTGAACTCACCAACTCTTGTAGTTGACACTTGTTTTGACGTGCTTTTCAGGGGTAATAAAGGCTCATGGTGACACTTAAAAAGAAGCTGTCACAGTCATCACCTTCAAACTTCTTTTGTGTTTAATTTACAAACTTGTCTTTGGAATTGTAAACTTTGGTTATGATGTATTTAAATTTTAAAATGTATGGTTGTGTTATTTATACTCTATTGCTATGAGACTCTACCTGCCATACCTCGCGTTTCCGCTTTAGCGGGGTGTGACATTACTTCTAAATTAAATTATAATAAAAAAATTGAATTAAAAAAATTACACAAAAACAAGAAATTTTAAATAGTTAATTTGATACTAATATTTATATATTTATTTTTGAAATTTTATAATATTTTCAAATTTATATTTAATTCAAAAATAAAAATTATCTTTTTTTCAAAACGACATAAAAACCATATTAAAACATCAAAATATAGGAATAAAATAAAACATTTAAATCAAAATATATCTCGTTGTATTGCACGAAAACACTGATAATAATTTTTAATATATATTAAATTAAAAGCTTTTATCGTCGAAGAAGGATTAGGATTTGTTATATAGAAAGGCTGCGGTGAAGTTGGACAAGTCTTTACGGTTGGAGAGAAATAATAGAGCGAGAGCGAGAGCGAGAGCGAGAGAAACAAAACCCTAATTCCACGCCCTCTCTCCATCCTCCTCCCTGCAAAACTTGTTCATTTCACTTCCCAATTTAACCTAATCTTTCATGAATTTCAATTTTCTCAACCATTATAATGTCAGACAATGAGAAAAACGCCCTCGTTAACTCACCCTCCAGCTCCAGGTCGGTCACGGAGACGGTGAACGGCTCGCATCATTTCGTTATACAGGGTTATTCGTTAGCCAAGGGTATGGGGATCGGAAAACATATAGCCAGTGATAATTTCACCGTCGGAGGTTACCAATGGGCTATATATTTCTACCCTGACGGCAAAAACCCTGAAGACAATTCAACTTACGTTTCCGTCTTCATTGCACTTGCCAGTGAGGGCACCGATGTCAGGGCATTGTTTGAGTTGACTCTCGTAGATCAGAGTGGGAAAGGGAAGCACAAGATTCATAGCCATTTTGATCGCTCTTTGGAGAGTGGTCCATATACATTGAAATACCGGGGGAGCATGTGGTAGGTTTCAATATTCAATCACCATTCTTCTTTAACTTCTTCATTTGTTACTTTCGTGCTGCCTGTTGTCATATTTATTTGTTGGTTTTACTTTTATTTATGGTGAATCAATTAAACCTGGTTCCTCTGATGACATGACATGAATTTATGGATAATCCAAGAATTCTTCTAGTAGGATCAAATTTATGTTACTTCTGTTGTGGGAATTTGTATCATCATGAGAAAAACGAGTAAGAAATCTAGCGGAAGATTCTCTCTTTAGATTCAGGTGTATCCTTGGCTATTTTGTTTCTTGCCTGACCAGCGAACTTAATAACGGGCATATTCTGGCTACTTTTTATGTAGCTGTATTTGGCATTGGTTGATCAATTGTTAATCTGTAGGGTTATCTGGTTGTATACATCGATTTCTCAATCCATGCTATGAAAAGTTGGAATGTTGAGACACTATGATAAAACAGTAAATCTCTTAATTGTTTATCAAATTCATATCTTTGGACTCCAAGTCAGTAAAGAAGTCGGCGGACTTGTGAAATGCATTTTGCTTAACAGGACCATGGATTTTTAGCCCGATTTTTTCTTGAAACAATCCACCGTGGTGATAAAAGTACGATGTCTTGCAGTTCGGTTATATTAGGCTTACTACTGCTTTTTTATTGTAATACAAAAAGTATACATTATACCTCTATATTCAATGGAACCAAAAGTTTGGATCTAATTTACAATATTTAATTACATTAAAAGCATTTTATAATTGACGAGCTAAACATACATCCATATCCATGCTCACACAATAGTAGTTATGTGGATTGGGCAGCAACCTAAATGTTACTTGGTTAGGGCTTGTATCATTGGGCCCAATGCCTCTAAACCACTATCTGAAGCTTGTGTTTCATGGGACGTAGAATTGAAATTTTAGAATTTAAGTAGTCATGGTGTTTGCTATGTTAGTGACAACTTAATAATGCTATTGTGTCCAGAGAGAAGATGTGTGGAGCTTAGGCATGTTTTTCACACATCTTTATTTCTAACGAAGGGAACTACATTCATCATGAGCTGAATGCCCAACCGGCAACTGCATCTATTTTTCATTTTTTCATACTATTTCCTGGAAGGATTAGGTTCTATTGGTTAATAAAGAAAAGACAACTGCATTCTCAAGAAAGGATTCTTGTCACTCTTCATGCGGGTTTTGATGGAGAGAGGGAGATTACTAAACCAAACGAAACCAAACCAAACCAAATGAGTCTGGTATATCCCACCCAGAGGTGGGGTCTGGGTGGTGGGATGTACATAGATCTGTCTTCTATCCCAAAGAGTAGTGTGTCTTTATAAGACCCCTTACTTGTAGAAAATTACGTGAGGGAGAAGGCTTTAGTTTTTTTTGAGGGAATTTATAAAAAATTTTGGAAAGAAGAACTGAGGCTGGTAGAAGTCAAGCAACACCATAAAAACAAAAGTAGGCACAAAACATATTGGAAGGAAAACTAGCTCTACATAGGACTCTGGTAACTTATCAGATGCTCACTGAGCCCACCCCTACAGTCTACCTCTCAACGCCCTTCCTCACGTCTTCGCTAGCTACAGCTCACCACCTCTTGGCTGATACCCTATTCTCGCATTTCCAAGCACTTCTATCATGTCCTCGAATTGTCTAAGGCTACCATGCCCATTCTTAGCTGCTCATCCACATTCTTCTTGGCTTGCTCTTCCTCCACACCACATTATTCTTTCTATTCCCCTCACTGGAGTTGCTATTTGTCTCTTGCGAATGTGTACAAACCACCACAATCTTCTCTCTCTCTCTCTGTCTCTCAAGTTACCCGTGATAGGTGCCACCCTTGACTCCACTTGGAAGACCTCATTCAATATCTTGTGCAACATGGCCCAATTACAAATCCATCTACGCATCCTCATTTCTGCAACTTCCAACTTTCTGTCATGGGCCTTCCTAGTTGCCCAACACCTCAACACATACAACACTGCTGATGTGAATGCTACCTTGTAGAATTTGACCTTCAGTTTTTAGCGAGACTTCCGTATCGCATAGCACCCCCGTAGTAGCCCTCCTCTTTAGCCACTTCTGTGTGATGCTTTATGTAGTCCTCGATCTTTCTCTTCTTCTGAATCATAGAACCTAGATACTTGAAATGGTCTCTTTAGGTAGATTTCTATCAAGAAATAAAGTGGGAATGAAAGAGATAGTTTGCTGAAATATCTGCCGCAAAGTTATTATCTATGCTGTTAATTGCACCGCTATAGCGGTGCAATAGTGACGCTATCGCGGTTGGCGGTCATGGGACAAATAACGGCCTGAAATAGTGGTCCCACGATTAGCGGCGTTATTGACCGCTAAATGACCGCATTTTAAACGCAAAAAAGCAGCCGCATAATCGCTATTCGTAGATAAGCAGTTTTGGTGTTAAAAAACTAATTTTGTGGGCTTTTACTATTTTTGTGGGCTTTTATTTAGGAGTTGTATGCTGTTTTTCTTAATCCAATAATATCAACTCTTCATTGTGCTTATTTTTGGACTATGACACCATTATTTTGTTTTTTGAACTTAGACACCATTATCCTTGTGTTTTTTGGATTTGGACACCATTACCTTGACCTCTTGATTTGAATAAAAGTATTCACATTGTTCTGTTATTTTTAGTTGGACTTGGACATCATTATTCTTATCTATTTTTTATTGAATACAGTAGGATATTCCAAACTGAATTAAACATAGTTTTTCTTTTATACGAGATAGGTTTTTTACGAGCTACCATCAATTACGACAGATTCTTCATTCAAATTTGGTACTATTATATGTGTTTGTATTAATGATATGAAAATTGTGTAAAATGTTACTAATTAAATTATTTAAATATTTACTTAATTTGTCATATATAACTATTCTATGATATATAAAATCATCAAACAATTTCTAGGGCAACCTGTATAGTCCTATCCTATCCAACCCTTGTCGTACCAAACACTAGACAGGCAACTTGTTAGTCCAATCTTCTCCTGTCTAGTCCTGTCCAGTTCTATTGTATCTAGTGCAATGATGTCTGGGGATCAAACGCTACCTAAAGGAATTGATTGAATTTGAAGATATCACAACCGAAGTTGAATGAAGTTCCATTGTATGCCCCAATTAAGACATTGGTAATATGTTTACCTATGTAGTGGAGGGTCTGTAGGGCTCCACTTGGTAATGGTGCAACCTCTACATTTGAGGAGCAATGTGAATAACATGGATGGAGATGGTAAGAGTTGATGCTGAAAAGCAACTCTCTTCCCAGCAAGTCAATCTTTTTACAAAGTTTGTGAGTGCTCACACTATGTCTCTCATTCTACATGCTTTCACATCCTGTATTTTTATATAGTTTCAACACCCACACCATTGTAAATTGCAGGGAGAATAAAACAAGGGGAGTCTTCCATAAACAATGTCATTGCTTAGACCATTCTGCCTGCTTCCCGGTCCAAACCCTACCCGTGAGAGCTTTAGCTAGCCTAGTTCTATAAGAGCATCTCCAACAGATTCTCCAAAATGGAGAAAATGGAGATTTTGGGCAAATTTTGCTCCACCAGATTCTCTAAAGTTTCTCCAAAATGAAGAAAGCATGAGAGAGTGATAAATTCTCCAAATATGGAGAATTCTCCAATTATGATTACCATGAGAGAGAAACAATTTATTATTATATTACCACAAATACGAAAGTTTGATGTTAAATGTTTATGAGAGAGAAATAATATTCTATTATATGTATAATTGTTTTTGATAATATAATTAATGTTATAATCTCCAAATTAGAGAATCCATTGAAGATGAATGCATCTTTTTTTGCAGATTTTGAGTTTTGATTATCTATTTTGGAGAATTTGTTGGAGATGCTCTAATTTGCCCCTTTCTTTGGATCTCATACATATTATGATCTTTGCAAAGCTTCACCTGTTATATCTTCTTCATTCTTTGTCTTTTTATTGCTGAGAAATATTTGTATATGGCAAAGTTATTCAAGCTCCAGTTGTCATAGAGTTTGCTGTTCTGCATTGCCTTATGTTCCTTGATTGTTATGATAGCTCTTGTTTTTTTTTACTAAACCCTTTATCTGGGCCTTCTTGGTCAGGGGATACAAGCGTTTTTACAGGCGAGCACTGCTTGAAACTTCAGATTATCTCAAGGATGACTGCTTGAGAATTAATTGTACTGTTGGAGTGGTGGTTTCTGCAGTAGACTGCTCTAGGTTACATTCAATTCAAGTTCCAGAGTCTGACATTGGATCACATTTTGGGATGTTGCTGGATAACATGGAAGGTTCAGATGTTATCTTTAATGTGGCTGGAGAAAAGTTTCATGCACACAAATTGGTATTGGCTGCTCGATCCCCTGTATTTCGGTCCATATTCTTCCGGCAAGAGGGAGATGAGCATGACATCGATGTTACTGATATGGAACCAAAAGTTTTCAAGGTAAGTTCACTATAGTTGTCATTACCATCTGCTGTCATAGTTGAAAGTAGTATCAGTCTTCTTGTGTGGGACAGACCAATATTTTTGAATTTGTTTTGTGAATTCTACATGGAACTTCGAATGCCAAATTATACATGAAAATTTGATCCTTTTTACTTCATACATTTACTCTTGCGTTGCTATATAATTGTTAATTTGCAAGTAATCCCATCCAATTGAGGTCATATCATGTGTTTGGATCTATATTAGGTTTACCTGCTGAATCATAGACTTGCTCTTTTCTTCTAGGCATGCAATCTGTTCGTTCTATGTTTTACAAGATCGTGTTCTTAAAAAACATGTACATTTTACGGTTTTGTGGAATCATTCCTCCTAGTCTGAATATTTGATACATGAGAATGCCAAGTTATGCCATCTTTCTTGATTAAAGACTAAATTTTGTCATCCTTCCACTCTCATTTTTATTTATTAAGTGTTGATATGGAACAGGCTATGCTACACTTCATATACAGAGATGCACTCATGGATGATGAGTTGGTGGCATCCAGTTCTTTCTCTGAATCCTCTGTATCTGATTCCTTAATAGCCAAGCTGTTAGCTGCTGCTGATAAGTATGATTTGGGCAGACTTAGACGGATGTGCGAGTCTCACCTCTGTAAAGATATATCCGTAAATTCTGTTGGTAGAGCTCTAGCACTAGCAGATCGTTATCATGCCACAGAATTAAAAGCTGTTTGCCTAAGATTTGCTGCTGAGAACCTTGCAGGTATTTATTGTGATTAAGCTTTGGTTATATTATTGCTCCTTAATCAAGTCTTGTCGTGAAGAATGCTTTCTATACAAGTTTTTCTATGCAGTTCTGCTTCCCTTTGTCTTGTCCGATCTTATGTTGCAGGATCACCAAGTGCTAGGTTATTGTATTGTGTTTTACATTTTTATATTGGTGTTACTACAATTCATTATTTCTCTCTCTATCTCCTGCGTTTCCCTCAAATATACAATGATATGAATTAAGTACTTAAGCTATTCTTTCTTCACTAATTGTCAATTGGGAGTAATGAACCATGCGTATGCAACTCTATACATGCATTGGTCTTCTCTGTAGAAATTTGTTGCTACCTCCATCCTAGAAAAATGCAATGTTTGACTTGACATGTAGGTGGCGTTTGCTTTTGAAGAGGTGCTGAAGTCTGAAGTCTTATTTCAATTCTGATTAATAAGAGGTGGTGTTGAAGTCTGAAATCTAAATCCACAAGTCTCTTTGTTTTTGTAAACTAACAAACGTCTGAAGTCTAAAATCCGAAATAAAATAGAACATGAAAAACACAAATCAAAATACAATCCTCATTCTATAATCACCAAAATCAGAATCAGAACTTCAAAAAACCACCAGGATACCTTGATTTTAAGCAAGAAGGCAGACATCACCAGGAAACCTTGATATTAAGCTAAACTTAAACTTGAATATGAACTTGAATATAAACTTGAAGCAAAACTTGAATACTATCACTTTATAGTACCATCATGACCAGAATAGGAAAAATACAAAATGTCTAGCTCACGCTCCTTCAAATAAGCAATCTACTTGAGTATTGGGAGAGACAATGGTGAAATTTGTAAGATTCAATTTTTTCTGCCGCTACCAATCAAGAAATACAATGAATAGCATAACAAGGAAGAAAATGGAGATCTTAATTGCGGAGACCAAAAAAAAGACCAATGAATAAAGTCGATTGAGAGAGATGTCGATTGATTGTAGGTTAAGAGGATGCTGTTGAGGGTGAAGCGAGAGCCATAGATGAAACAGGTAGGTTGTTGAGAGGGTCTGAGAAACCATTCGGTCCCAAAGATGAATTAGATCGGTTGATTGAGGTAGAAATCGAGAGCCATAGGTGAAGCAGGTCGATTGAAAGGGTGAATAGGGCCAGAGATGAAGTAGATGCGATTGGAAGGGTGAAATAGAGCCAGAGATGAAGCAGATGCGATTGAAAGGGTGAAATCGAGAGCCATAGATGAAGTAGGTTGATTGAAAGGGTGAAATTGAGAGGCAGAGTTGGAGCAGATTGATTGAGAGGGTGAAGCATATCAATCGAGGAGGTGAAGTCAGGAGCAGATCGGTTGAGGATGTTGCGATGGAGGTGTGATAAGCAAATAAGAGGGAATTAAGATGCTATGTTGCCTCTTTTTTATTTAGACCCCATTAAGAGATGAGAGGCTCTGAAAATATAGAAAAGACAAATAGTCTGAATTATAAAACGTTTGACCGAATCAGACATAAGTGGTAGTTAAGAGCTGAAAATGAAAAAACAGACAAGGCCGTAGTTTAATAGAAGTCTTTGACTTATAATCAAATATCTACAATGCCCTTGGTAAGATTTTTTTGAAAGCTTGTGGATCAGAATTAATGAGTAATGACCATTAATAGGCAAATAAGTAAATTTGGATTGTGATCTTCCCAAAAAAGGAAATATTGCATCCTACTGGAACAACCCAAAATTGCGTGTTGCCTTTTTTAATGAACAAAGTAATATGGGTGCTTTCTCATACATCCCTGGACTTAACTTCTGATCTTGGCAACTTGAAAGCATTCATCAACTTTTCTAGATCAATCCTTCAACTCTTCAAAATACTATCTCTTGTTTTGAAACTGTGGTAACAAGGACACTGCCTCATCATGGTTTGTGATTGGAATCTTAAGATATTTTTACGCGAACTTGTGAATATAAGTAGCATTCTTTTGTACTCTCTTGTCTAAGACCAATGCTTTTTTACTGCAACTGTAAATCTCTTCACTATTGCCCCATATTTATCATGGCAACGGTGCATCCAATGGTTTATGTTGGAGATGTTCAAAACATCTAAAAACGGGACCGGCAACCATATCTATAATCTGAAAGTACACCTCTTAGCAAATGTTATGGCATTTCATCCCATTTCATGTTGTATCATCTACAAGTATCTTAGCAAGATTGTTATAGATGGAATTGAGCATGCCTTTCATTTTTAGTTGGCTGAAAACCTATCGGATTTTGTTCCAGGAAGACGGTACTAGTCACAACACTTTGTTAAGACAAGAGATCATGAAGGGTTACCATTCAAATAGGGGCCAAACTAGATTTGCTTTGAATTTTGACATTCAAAAGGCCTGACATGGTGGACCGGGAGTTCATGAATTTGCTTTAGTGGGTTTTGGCTTCCATGCTTGTATGATGGGATTATGACCTCCATGTCCTATATATCTTTCTCTATTTGGTTTTACATGGATTCTACAATGGGGAAGGGGACTCTGTCAAGGAGAACAAATGTCCTATATATTATGACCTATTGCTGAAGAAAGCCATTCAAGTTGATGGGTCATTCAAGTACCACCACAAATGTGAGAAATTGAAAATTATTCCCTTTCAATTTTTTGATGACCTAATCATTTTCTGCTATGGGAACCCTCACTCGGCTCACATCATTAGACAAGTATTGGACAGGGTTGGGCAATCAGTTGGTTCCCTTCTCCATTGGTCAATTTTTTGGTCAAATATCTTGGCAGTTCTATTGGTATCAACTAGGCTCGGTAATGAGGTGCAGAATACTGGTGGACAAAATGGAGAAGCAGGTTACAAATATCTATTCTTTACAGGTAGGATGTGGTTAACTAAATTGGTCATTGCTTCCTTGCAAGTTTACGGGGCCTCTATATTTATTCTTCCTTCCTTTGAAAATTAATAAAGGAAAAGTAATCGACTTATTCTGTGCAAGTGACCTCCAGGAGATCTTTTTCTTTTTCTTTTGGGGGGAGGGTGGATTGAGACATTGGGTATATGGAACTTGGCATGTATGTCTTTACACATCTAGGATCTTCTTACCGTACTTGCAAAGATACCTTGTGGGTCAAATGGATTTACATAGTTACATGAGGAAGGAATTTTTTTGGGACATTTAAGTTTCTTGGATAACTTCGAAGAAATTAATCTGGTTAAGAGATCTAATCAGAGGGCATGATCTAACCTTGGCATGGTTAGATAATTGGCACCTCATGGCCCCTTATGCTAGTTCTTCTCCAAGTCAAGATCCTTGGCTGTGGCTTGAACATCAATTGCATGGTGCTAGGATTACTGGCAAATGGGCAGTGGCATGGAGGGAAACCCATATCGAGATTCTAGTTCAAATGACCGACCTTCCTAGTTTGTTGAAAATGGACAAGACGATGTAAAGTGGGATAGAAATGACAATTAGGTAGAATTGTCAAATGCCCAAATATGGAAAGAATATTAGGGTAGAGAAAGAGGAAGTAGATTGGGACCATCTAGTTCTGTTTAAGCTAAAAGGATACTGTGGCACTCATTCATGATATGGCTTAGTTATTAAGGAGAAGCTACAGTCAGTGGTGTAACGATGATCCTTGCATGATTCTATCAGCTATATGACTTATTCTCTGTTGCCCAACTGAGTCAGGGAGGTTTGCTTTTATAGATATGAAGAGGTTACATGTTGAGTTTTGTAAGGCGAGACTACTTAATCCAAACTTATCTATTAACAACCTGTAAATTATAACCTCTTATACCAAAAGCATGAGTTGTAGAGAAATCTAGAATCGTGGAATATAGCATGTGGAAGTGTTCAATAGTTCTGTGATGACACCTTGATCTATCAATCGATACTAATTTGAAGCAACATTGCCTGTAGCAGATATATTCTTTGATCCCGAATCTGCTCAATCTTTTTGATGACATGCAGTCAACCAACTCGTTATAACAAATGGAGGCTTTTGTTTGCAATGTGTTGGGCCATGAATGGGAAAGTGCACAACTGGAAAATTTATAATTTCACTAGAAAGTTGAACCAAGTTTAAATGCATTTGCAAAGTTGATTTAGCTTAAATTATTGCAAGAAAATCTGATCGTGAATGGATTTTAATGAATAAGACGGAGTTCGAACACAGATGTAGCATCAAGCCACTTACTTAATGTCTAGCTTTCCAACTGGTAGACGGTTCCTTCTCGTGTACAATTTGAGTCAACCAAATGTCCATTTCACACTCTCATTTGTTTTGTGGAAGATTTGTAAAAATATGATATCTCAGTTATACATGAGATGTATCTCTTGGATAGTAGCCTTACTTGGATATGTGATGGGAATATTGTCCCAGATGTAATGTCAACAATACGACATGTTGATGGCTTTATAAGTTGAATTATGCAGAAAGAAAATATTGGGGAGTATGCTACTCAGAATAAGTTTCATGGTTCCAGATTTTAGATATATATTGCTTATGTAACATGTTATATGAGATGTTAGGTTACTGTAGAAAATGCAATACTTGAATTAAATTGACAATTCCTGATCCATGATTCTAGTAGTAGCAGAATAATTACGATCTTGTTGCATGTATTTTCTTATTAGAATTATTACTCCCCAAATAAGAATGAAGCTCGTATTAGTCTTCTGTCAAACTTACAAAAAATGGTCATGATGTATGCAGCGGTTATGCGATCAGATGGATTTGAGTATTTGAAAGAGAAGTGTCCTAGATTGCAGTCTGAACTTCTGAAGACAGTTGCAGGGTGTGAGGATGACTGTAGCAGCAGTGGTGGTAAGTCTCGGAGTGTCTGTGCTCAACTTTCCGACGGGGGAGATACAAATGGCCGAAGGGTCAGGCAAAGGACTTGGAATGTACAAGAAGAAGAAGAAGAAGAAGAATCTTGACTCTGATTGTATCAAGAAACAAAACGTATTGCACGCTCATTTTATATAAAAAAAAAACAAAAAGAAGTTAAATCCACAAAAAGACTGATTGTTGTAGATTTGTATCTCGTCAATTTTCACCAACGTTATATATATCTCTGTATTGGTTTGGTGGTTGTAAACTGTAGAATTTATATTGGCTGCATGGTTTAGGGGGATTTTGTTTGCAAGTATTTGTTGATTTTGGGTCTCAATGTTGATATCTGGGTTAGGCCTTATCATGATTCCCGAAAGCAGGATCGGATTCAACGCAAATGTATGCTTGCTTTACGGAAATGGGCCAAGTTATTGAATCTTTTGCTGTGGACATGATTAATTATAATCAGGTATAAGGATCATATATTACTTTCAAATGCATATGATGCCAAAACAATCCTTGTATTTACAGATAAACATGTGTATCTACTAAAATGATCACTAGATTCAAGAAATCTGGATGCATATCAAATTACTAATAATTCCAAACGTTTTGATGGTCATGTTCCCAACAATTTACGACTTCAAACTCAACGACGGTAGAGCGTCATAGTTGCCTTGGGGTTTATTGTGGATTAATGCAAAAAGCAATACTCATTCAACAAAGTCTATTTATAAACAAAAAGATGCATTTCACAGACTGAAAAAAGGGTCTCCAAATTTAGCAGATAAACACAAGTTCTGAAAATCGGCAGGGAACAGAACAACAGAATAAGGTCAGCCGCCTCCGATAAAGTACAACTATCTATGTACAGTGACCATTCTTAACGTTGTCACAGAAGAGATCTGCTATCCCTCTGTATCTCTATAAGGTGTTAGATAATATTCTCATAATTGTAATCTCTCACCTCACTTCTGTTGTGAAATGTCAGGATCTGCTGCTGGTTTCCTGCTATCGTTTTTGGGTCCAGTAGCTTTTGTTTTTGCACGGTTTAACTTAAAGTCGTTCAAGCTTCTGTATTCTTCTCTGAGTAGCCTTTCCAGTTCCGGGAGCTTTTTGTGCTCTTTTGACTGACTATAGTGATGAAATGCCCTATCAAGAAACAAGTTACTTTCAGCACAAAATTTACAAGGACAAACCTGATATGGGATTTCATTTTTCCTTTATTTTTTTCTTTTGCTTTGTTTTAGACTGACCGAGACTCACCAACATTTGGGGATAATGAAAAAGAACGGTATGCTAAACTTTTTCAACATTGACATTATTTAAGAAATTTTATGCTAAAACTTTTTCTTCAAGTTGAATGTACAAAGGTATGTATGTTGGCTGGGGAGATGGGCGCACAATGGCTGGCGAACCTCTTTAACGCCATCCTCAAGACTGCAAAGCATGGAGCTGTTAACTAAGTGCCCACCGACTCTTATTGGGTAAGTGGGCTTACCTGGTAAAAGATATTGTCGTTTACCAACACCTCTCACCCACAAATGTTATTGATCGAGATGCTGACCGAGTAAGGATCGAGAGACCGAGTAAGGATCGAGATGCTGACTTCTGTTACCCTCAAGTCCTAGCTTGTGATCTGTTATTGGTAAGCAGTTACTACAAACACTTGGTAACAACCATTTTCAGTCAGCGCTTACCAAGACTGAACCTTTTATCCAGACAGCATTCTTACTTGGTTAGCACTTATTCAATCTGTGTTGGTAAACGGCCCCAGTGTGGTGGTGCCGCCCTATAAGAACAAAGGCGATGTTCAAGATATAAAGATACTTAATATCACCATGAAACTATGGGATGGAATATTTTGGCCAGGGTGCATCATGAAACGGCAGTGACAAAGAACCAATTCGGCTTCAAGCCATGGAAGTCAATGATCGAGGCAATCTACCTACTCAGATGCCGGATGAAGATATATAAAGAGCGTAGCTGATATGCACTGATTATTCAGTGTTTTTACACTCATTTCTCAACCTAGAATTAGCATATTTTCCTGTTTACGTCTCAACTTTGAGTCTTTTATTTTCTTATTTTCCAATTATTGTTTCTTGGAGCTAAATGTTATGATTTACGTGTTTTAGGACACAATAGATGGCTAACTTGCACCTTTTGGCAGATTGCTCATGCTGACCATGCTACAGCATTAGGCAGATGGTGGAAAATAAGAGTTCAAGACTCGGAGACAAAAGAGAAATGCTCAAAGATAATATTTAGTAGCTTGCTAAGCATGATTTGATGATCCCTGGACCTGTTTACATCTGGAATTACTTGACCTTCAAGTGTTGCTTTATGCTTTTGTCTTTTTGTTCGACTTATGTGAACTTTAAACTTAGGGGACCAAGTATTGTAATATTGCACTTTACCCTCCTCTAGGCTTTGTATAAATAGAAGTGGTGGGCTTTATATTTTGCAAGATCCATAATGAGATCTAATCTGATTATGTTTGGTATTTTGAAGTCTTTTTATTAATGCTTTTATTTTAATATAAATTGTGGTATTTTCTTTCACCTTGTTCTTAGTGATACATTGCTGCAGTAGTGCTTTTCTACATTACACTATTTACTATCTTATGCTTACCGTCTGTAAATTCCGTCATTTATTTTTAGTTCCTTCAATTCAGTCATTTACTTTCATGCATTCTATGCAATTTAATGCTGTTATGAGTAGCTAAATTTTATAGCTTGGATGTGAGATAAAGGGTGAGATTTTAAAGCAAAGAAAAGTAACGATGTTCCACTATTTCATATCAAGTTTTACAAAACCAATAACACTTCTTGACAAGTTGATCACTTTGAAAAGTGTTAAAAGTGTCGTGGTCTTGGAGACAAGCCACTCGAATGCACGTCAATTTGAATGATATGGGAAGTAGACTGAAAAGAGTTGCTAACAAAGAGATTTGTTGTCTATGTTCTTCAAACTGATTACTCAACAGATTGATCACTTATCAAAGTGTTAAAAAGTATAGTGGACTCAAAGACGAACCACTTGGAACACATCAACTTGGAAGACATCAACTTGGAAGACATCAACTCGAGAGTGATTTTGAACAAAGAGATTTGCCAATCCATATATGTTGAGGACACCATTTAATACTACCTCTGGTTCTAATACTACATAGATATGTTGGTTGATGGCTAAATCATAGCGCAATGGTCATAATCCGAGAGGATATGCCTCAAAGTAGATGGTGAAACTAGTTATTCCTAACTTCATGCTATAGCATTTCTACAACATTGATCTCTTGGAATTTGTGTTTAAGTCTCACCACAAGTCTTACACCCTTGCTTTCTTTATTATCAGTTATTCTCTTTAAGTCATAACAACTCAAAAGAAATCTTCAAATTCATCATCTAAAATCATTTCTTCCATTAGATTTTTATTACACTTTACTCCAATCCATGTGGACGATATTCGGTATTCTATACCACTTTATTACTTGAAAGACGATATTGAGTCATATTGTATATTTGCTTTCGGTTCCGATTATCACATGTCTAAGGGTGTGTAAAAAGCACCATCAATAGCAAAGATCTACATTGGTGTTTATACACCTGGAGAAGGCTTATGATATTGTACCTACAACGTGATTTGGCAGAGCCTGAAGGTTAGATGGGTACCATGACTGTATGTTAGGGCAACACAAGATATGCATGTGCAAACAAGGAATGGTCAAAACACGTGAAACAAAGTATTTCTCAATGGAAAATAGGGGTGCCCCAAGGGAGATGTGATGCCAAGCTTACCGTGGAGGCGCATTAGAAGCCAGATGCCGACTCCGATGAAGAGGGCGGAGGATCAATTGAGGGGGTGAAGAGGAAGGGCAGGCATACAAGGATGTGGGATGAGCAACTGTGCATGGACATGGCAGCCTTATACCTTTCCAAGGACAAGATCTCTGATAGGAATAGTCGGAAGCAACATACTAGGGTAGTAGCTGCTGCACATCAAGGAGGGGGAGGGTGGGCTGGGAGAAGGTAAGAGAGATGGTAGTTAGGTTAGCGAAGTCCTAGGATAAATAGAGGGGGCATCTTTACTCGGTAGATTAGGAGTGGCCCACATGCGTGCTATGGAGATGGGTTCCTTTTTACATGTTCGAAAAACTTCTTACTTTTTACGTCTGGCTTTACCACCAAATCTTTTCTTAATCTATTTTTTTCTCATTTTCTGAAGTTACTTTGACAAATATTGCTACCGACTCAAGCTAAAAACATAGAAAAAAAAAATCCCAAATCCTTTCTAACTTTTTACAAACTGCCTACTTCTCTTCAATCATAACATTTTCCTTAAGGGATGTATTAGGTGAACTGGTGGATGTAGTGATCTTCAATACTATGTACAAATTTAGGACGAATATTCCACTTGCCTACTAAATAATAAGAGATGCCTATGTATAAGCTTTCAGATGAGTCTCCAATGGATGTATATAAGGAAAGATACCAAGCCAAAGTATGACTCCGAAGTGCCCCAAAAAATAATACTATATATTAGCACACCAGCAGCACTTAGTCAAAGAGATGACTTGATACGTAATTTAATATTCAGAAAGAAAGAGTTATTTCAAACAGGTAGTTACCAGTATTTTTCAAGACCATAAATATTTCCCTTATGGTAGAAATCAAGAGTTAGCTGTTCAAAATCCTCATATACATCTTCTCTGAATTCTTTCTCTAAACCATAACTGCACAAAGAAAAAGGATGCAGACATGTGTTGTTGAGTGCATACTATGTACTTTCTTTTCATCAAAAGAAATTCATACATAAAGGACAAATAGTACAATAGCAGGTAGGAGTCAACAGTTGCTTGAATACTTCTATTCACTTGCAAATAATGATGAATATTTGGTACCTATAAAATCCGAACAGGCATTCCATTCCATAATTGTAACCAACTGCTGCATCTTCCAATGCAATTTTCCGGAATTCATTATACATTGAAGGAACAAACATGTCCCTTAGAAAATATGACCAGAATCTGTACAGCGTATTCATTTCCTGCATGTGGAGACGCAAGGGAGCCCGTTAGAACCTTTAGCAAGTACTTACAGTGGTTAACTTTTAGATGAATACATAAAAATGGGAAAGGAACAAGTGGGTATGCTAAGTTTTTAGTAGATATAGAACTAATCATGATCTACGTGCCATTGATTAGAACAATACCCACTGCAGTGTATAGTTACATTATATCACTTCTTGAGTTGTAATTACTCGGCATATGCAATAGTTTACTTCTCGAGTTGTAACCACCAGGCATATATCGTAAATCCAACGATCATAAATCCAAGTACATGTATGTGTTGTTATGAATTGAAGGGCACAGAGATGCTCTGGAGTGCTGAAACTAGTTCTATTTAGCAATCTGTAGGTCGTATTAGCCATTAGGGGTGAACGTGGGTTGGGTAGGGTGATTTACGGCATTTTTACAACCCAACCCAATTATGGCGGTTTAGAATAATGTCAAGCCAACCCAACCTATTCAAAGAGGTGGGTTGGGTTGGGTTGGCGGGGTGTTAGTTACATAAATTTGACAAAGAAATACTTTATAAATAGAACCAAACTATAAAGCGTCCTATAGGGTTACAATAGGTTTATAGGATGCTTTTTGGCGTTTCAACAAGTTTTTTAGAACGCTCTTTAAATAAAGTGTCGTATTAGTTATTTTATAGATCAATTTTGAACGGTGTCCTGTAAACTCATCTATTTTGTAAGACACTTGTGTTCATATGACACTTTTTCAAATAGTAACATATAAAATAACTAATACGACAAATTATTTTAAAAGTGTCATAAAAATTTGTTAGCACACCCAAAAACGTCCTATAAACATATTGTACACTTTTTTGTTTCGTCCTAAAAAGTATCATATTAGGACGTTTAGACATTTTAGATGTTCTATAAACCTAATGTTGTTGTAGTGAATGCCATAACTATTAGCATGTTCTTTCCACCAAAGTACAACATCAAATGAGGGAGTCTTTGGATTGGTAGATTCATCGACCAAATATTTATCAACATCATTCATATTCCGGCATATCCATTTGTTATTGCTGCAAAAACGATTCCAATAATTTTCTCCTATTAGATTCTTTGGTGGTGAATCTCTTTTGGTTAACTATACATTTAGCTATAAAAAAAAAACATAAACCCAACAAATATTATGTAAAATTTTACACATTATTAATATATATAGGATGGGGTTCACGTGAGACCACTTTGTTTTCATGAGACCGGTGAGACCACTTTTTTACACTTGAAACTTCACAGCAAAACGCTGTGAAGATAAAAAAATCCGAACCTTCACAGCAAAAACACTATGAAGGTTACCTTCACAGCGTTTTACTGTGAAGTTTCAAGTGTAAAAAAGTGGTCTCACGGGTCTCACGAAAACAGGCTGGTATCACATGATCCGAAGTCTATATATATATATAATAGACTAGTATATGATATATAAATATAATTTTTTTTATTGAAGTTGTATTTATCAGCGGCAGGTTGGATTGAGCTTACCTAACCCAATTTCAACCCTCTTAATTGGCTGTCTACCGGTTTGGCGGGTAAAATTGTCCCTCCTAAAAAGATTAGTCTAGAATAAATGGGCAATAGTTAGGAGAGGTGCGCCAGTGGCGAGCAGAAGCAAGGTTATTACCTTATGAAAGCCCGGGCAGAACCACACGTGCAAGTTCTTGGCGGTTTGGCAGGTTGGGTTTAATTGGGTTTTTAGCGGGTTGGGTTGGGCGGGTTGAACAGTTTGACGGTTTTTTGTACACCCCTAGGTCGTATTTTACAATGTGTGATGCATCTTCACTTGAGTGTACTTCAGAGCAATTGTATGAAAACTATGTGACATATCTTTCTATATTCTCTTCATTTCAAAGAATAAACTAGAGCTGCACGTTTTCTTCAAGTAACAAAAAGCTCAGCTCTAATAAACTTAATTCAAATCAAGATGATGCATGCTATAACAAGTTGGTATCAGGTGTAGTTGAAAATGAATCAAATTGAACCGGATATTAGCAAACAAGAATTAAATGTGAATGTTGTTAGATATATAAGTTTCAATGTCCCAAATTGTCTTTCCACTTATACATTTTGGCATTGTCCCATCTTGTACCCTGTATAGTTTTGCTTTGAGTAATAACACACACACACACACACCACATGTTACAAGAACCATTGTTTATGCACACACGTTACAGAAAGTATAGGCAATTTATTATCCTGTTAATTGTTGCAATTATATTATGAATGATTGCTTGCTATGGTTTAAGATAAAGATTATTACTTGCAGCTTGCAACAAGATAAAAATTTATAAAATATAACATAGGTAGGATGAGATTCAAATATGAACTGCTATCAGATCCACGAGATGGCATGGTTTGTAAGTTTCAGTTTCCATTGATATCAGCATTATTAAGAAGCTATAAAGATGATGAACATATAGGTACCTCACTGCATCCAATTCCACATTTCTTCCGGTCACTTAGGCAGCGCTTGTGATACTTTACATACCTACATAGGTAAAAGCAGTCAGCTCACTGATTCAGTATATGGACTCAAGAAAACAGGCACTCACTACCCACTTTTGCTGCCTGAAACCATTTTCTTCTAGAAGCTGATGACTAGGGTGCTGGAAAGGGGGAAATGGCTTTGGCAAGGAGCCTACAGGTGGACTACTGCCTGTAAAGCAGCCATGAGGAGAAGCACCAAGCTTTGAAGGCCTCAATCTGTATAAGATGGTATGAGAAGTATTAGCCAGTTCGTATACTAATAATAATGATTGATAATTTTGCTCTCGACCCTTTCCATGCTCTCTTCTCGCATAAGAGTACAGAGGTTCTATCAGGATCCAAGGCAGAAGACTTGCTGATAAAAAAAGCTAAAGTTGCACAAGGCCTGGGATTTTTGAACCTGGTACAGGGCCTTCCAAGTCCATTTTCAGTAAGCAAAAAAAGAGCCCAGGATTTTGCAGGCCCAGCCAAAAATAGGCCCAATCAAGCTTTTTCAGGCAGGGCATTTTTAGGTCTGGGCTTTTGGAAAAATGAATTTGGCTTGATCAAGCTTTTAGGCCTGGCATGGGACTGGGCTTCAGGCTTTGTGCATCTCTAAAAACAGTACCCCAACTGGGTGAACAGTGCAAAAGTAGGAGGCAATAATTAACAATTTAACATTCTAAAATCTAAGCTCACCCATGATTTTCAGGAGGTGTTGAACCAAAGAAAAACCCGACTGAACTACTAGGTGGACTTTCTGATACGATACCAGGATAATTTTGACCACTTCCATTATTCTTCAGGTTGCTGGAAAACAATCGCTGGTTCTTCAGTGATTGTTGCTTGGAGAAGCCTTTATTTTGCTTCCTTCTAGAATTAGTGCTGCCAGGCACTTCACAGCAATTGCCTGAGATAGCCTTCTGATTTGCTATGACATAAGCAACTCGAGGAGATTTGGAAGTCCCTTCCTTGCTTTCATTTGTTGCATTGTTTCTCCTACCTTTAGTTCGCTTTGACTTTAGCTCCTGAAATTAGAAGATTCTTTAATCAATGTTTAAAACCCAACCCAGCCGATTAGCCCCTTAGCCGTTAACCATCAATACTGAAAGTTATCCATATTGTTATTGTACTCCCTATTTTCAAAATATTTTTTTGTCTGTCAAAAATCCAAAATGTTATGCGTATTAGTAGTCGATTAAGTTTTCATATCATTATCATTATATAAAATATTCTTTCACATCATTTTGAGGCCACAGGCCAATAGTGTTGAAGTCCAACCTAGGTCAGCCCACCAATCCACCTCTTGGTCAATGAATGATCCAGGTTTCAAAAGAATGCTTTATAAATTATTTAATATATGGAAGTGCAGAAGCATTCATGCACATTATCTTTATCTAATAGATAAATAAATTACCAAAAAGCAAATGAGAAAAGATGTTAAATAACCTGTTCATAGTAGTATAGACCATCATTTATGGCAGAAGCAAGTTCATTGGAAAACAGTTTTGTTTCCTCTACATGACCTCTAGTTCCTTCACCTTTCCTGTTATTCTGCTGTGAGATGAGCACCAAAAATGAAAATTACTCATTATTCATAATAGCTAACTTGTCAGTTGTGAAGTAAACACAAAGCATCAACCACATGAAAATAGAACATAAGAAATAAAAAAACATTTACTACATCCCCGAGCTTATAGCAAAACCATTTCATCTACATAATGTAGATGGAAGGAACAAAAACGGAACCAAGTACCCATCAGAAACACATTAAGCGTCCACCAATGTCCCATTACTAAAAATAGAAATGCAGTATGCAATTTTTAATGAGAAATACAAAAAGAGAAATCAACATATCCATACTTGACATGCAGAGTGAGAGATGAAAAATAAAACGGAAAGTCTAATTGTAAACAGAAACTAATTATATTCCTATTCTAATTATAACAGGAAAAGTTATGAAACCTAACTGTATAAATGTACAACAGTACAAGTGAGTTTTAAATGCTCATAGTAATAGAAAAAAACACATTAAGCCAATAATTCCCCTGCAGAAGTCAGCAAGCAGGCTGTAATATAGGTTTCTTAAGAGATCACTCATTTTAGCATAATAAAACAGGATGAAATAGAGGAGACGCCTCAATAGTCATACCCAAGTAAATAAATGAGTTCCTTGAGGATAGGAATATGCAACACAACAGCCTTACCTGGGTAACAATTACAAGTCTCTCAACTGCCTGATCATTAACAACCATTTCGTCATCTTCATCATCCATCCTAGGACAAGTGATGTCATACACATTAAAGAACAGCCAGCACAAATATTTATATCAAGAAATTAAGAAGATATGCCACATAAAAACCTCATTGCATTAGATGAGGGAATAAAACAGGACCCAAGAGGACGAATATGTACAAACAAACAGGCCAAAGCATAGAAGCCTGAAAGAAATACTATACATAGATACTTTGTGTCTCCAACATGCCTCAAATTGGAGCCTGGATGCCAAATATGCCCAACTTCCCAGAAAGGGACTTCGTCCAGATGTTTGCAACCTACTCTTTATAACTCACCCCAGCTAGCTCAAAAGCAAGAAGCTAGCGTGAAGTACCTATCCTCTCCAACAAAATGACAATGCACTTCGATATGTGATAACGGAGTATCCAAAAATAATGAGTAAACCAACAACAATTTTATGTGAAGCACTGTTTGTCCTACCTGCTAGATTTCAGATTCTAATTACTATAAAGGATGCATCTGCTCCAGTGGGAGGCCTGGGACCTCTCATATCCTTTTTCTTGCTTTTAATAAATATAGCCTATCCCTACACAGCCACACCCAAAGCGGAGTGCACATGCAGCAGATGTAGGTAGCTCTTTTTGTGATGTATTTGGCTTGAAACATGATGCAAAAGGTTCCAGCCTTGCAAAAATGAACCCAGCCTCCTAGGACGTCAAGGGTTCAAACCTCACCAAAGGTGAAGAGGGTGTGTGATTGCCATACATAAATAGTATATGTTCCAAAAGAAAAACATGGTTTTCCTCAAATTTTCAGCTCGTTTGTTGCCACTTGCCACAAACATATAGAAGGGAAAAATTAATCTTTTCAGAAAAAAGTGGCAGGAATGATGGTTCCCATTGTACTGTTTTGTCCTTGTCTCATGTTGTTGGCTGATATTAGTGCTCAATTCCATATGGCCTGTAATTCCAGCCACTGTTTTAATTATGGGGATAATTTTGTCTAGATTCGAGAGTTTTTCTATTGCAGCCTATATGAATATATGCTTATGCATTAATAGTTAGGTTTGAGGATATGAGATCTCAATAGAGAGTAGCCTCTACTTTCCAGAAATCTTCACTTCTTTTGGACTTTGGAGATCTTTTTTAATCATGGTGGTGTGAAGTGTTCCCTTTCCTGTTAATCTTCTAGCGAAACTGCAAATTTTATAAACCTAATTCACTCCTTGATTTACCATTATGATCCATGCCCCATCTAAATCATGGAACAAAAAGGTCCACCAAGAACAAGGAGCTGAACTAAAAACAACTCTATGCAAGTTTCCAATCAAAAAGAAGTAAAAAATTGCTCAATATCAGACCAAACAAGCACCAAATCCTCAAATAATCAATTACGCCAACAGGAAACTATGGTATTTGATGATTCACAGCAAGTCTACCAATAAAACAAGGGAAAATAATCAAATAAACAATTACGCCAGCAGAAAACTATGGTATTTGATGATTCACAGGAAAGTCTACCAATATAACAAAGCAGAATAGCCATAAAACAGGTGTGCTAATTCCAGCTCTGAAAGAAAATAAAAGGACTCGGCAGTCGGACTAGATAAACAGAAATGCAGGTCAATTCTTAACCTAGTGACCCATGTAACAAGAGTGGCAAGTCAAACAAGTAGAGCTACCAGTAAAATCATTATCAGGGAAGTCATGGATGTTGGTGACACTCATTGGGAACTCCAGATCTGGACTTGACTGGGCTGTTCATATGGTTGGCAGCAAGGCAGTGAAGGCTGCAGTTGTCAGTGAAGGTAGTGAGAAGTTAGGGTTCTTGGTCGTCAGATCATTGACTCTGATTAGACTAGTCATCTATATGAATGTGCTATTGACAAAAGCACAAATATATTAACATGGAGGCAATTACTGAACACAGATATCCTACTCAATACCCGCCAACATTGATAGGATAACAAAGTTAAAATAGTCTATACTATCCATCAGTTGGAACAATTCAACCCATCCACCCGCCCCTTGATCCCATCACCACCAACCAGAAAAATCAGAAGTTATAGCATTGCAACTTGTGAGGAAATAAGCCTGAGGAATGTATTAGGGGTAAGAAAATATCTCAAGGACATCAACTGGGAAGTCGGGTCAGGAAGTGGCAAGTCAACTTGGAAGGATCTTGCTGCAGCAATAGGAGGCACTATACTTCTCCCAGCATGTAGAGTAGACGGGAAGTGATCAATTTTATTACACCAGGTTTTGAGGTTGTTAGAATGCCGATTTATCAAAGAAATTAGGTTATTAAGCACTTACGCCATAAGCAAAAGAGAGAGAAATCACAATTGGAACCTTAGGCGCATTCTACCCAACATTAAATAATTGCATAGGCTTATATTTTCCATATGAAGAATAATGTGTCTTATTGTGTATGTGTTCTTTATTGTACTTCTGTTCTTATACTACCACTATTTACTCCTTATTTTCCTTTCAAAATTTCTAACTCTAGTACAACATCATAATTGTGGTCTTGCTGTTAAATGTTTGGTGTGAAGTTTACCCATTGTGCAAAGGATTGAATCTAGGGATAACATGAAGAACCAAATGAAATGAGAACTTTGCAAGTTACAGAAAATGATTAACATGCTAAAGAGAACTGGATCATGCAGTACCTTGATTTAGAAGAAAAGTGATCTTTCTTGCCTGCTTTATGTTCAAGTTCAAGCTCCTCGTCAAACATGAATGTGCTTGCAAAATCATCACAAACATTATCCAGATTCTGTCCGCAGAATTCTGAAGGTGCCTTCATGCACTGATTTTCAGTGCTCAAGTGATCTATTGATTTTGCCATCCTACCAGCTGAACCATGATCACTGCCAGTGTCCAAGGGCTTGATATTAGACTTGGAAATAGGTCCGATGCCTAAATCGCTGTCAACCATATCTTTACTTTTAGAAGATTCAACAGTCCCTTGTAAGTTGTCCTCAATGGTATCCTCACCAGAAATATCTTTCTTTGAAAAATCGATAACATCCTCTTCAGATTGTTGCATGGAAAGAGATTTATTTCCCACAGAAGCTGAAATCCACTTTGACCACTCCTCACGCTTTCTCACCTTGTCACCCTATAAAATTTACAGCAAGTAGTAATCAAATTTTTGTAAAGCTGATAATAATGTGTGCTCCAATATAATGTGTATATCAACAACTCACATAGCATAACTGTGATGCATTAAACACTTCATATAAGTGCAACAGGACTTTAAAGTAACCCATGAAATTTGTCAAGAATACAAGGACTTAAGCTTTACAAAATTAATCCAATGTGACTATTGGATTAATTGGTGAAGACTCGAATGATGGTCATGGATGCATGATAAGGTAGACATTGATATATTTCTACATGAGTAGTAACTTAGGTTTGTGTGGTGAAATTAATGGGAGAGGAAGTTGTATATTTTCTTAATGTTAATCAGGGAAAACCCCTCTTTTATATCATTATTTCTTCTCTTCTATTGATTATCCACTATCCATGTGGGGTACACTAACACACTTTTCCACACTTCCTCTCAAGTTGGAGAACAAGTATTCACCATTCCCAACTTGGATAAAAGAAAATTGTAATACACCACTACTTAACCCTTTGGTGAGTAATTAGCAAGTTGGCCATGTGTACAGATAAAAGGAATACAAATCAATCTGTTGTCTAACTTTTCTTTGATGAAATGCTTGTCAATCTCAATGTGCTTTGTTTGGTCATGTTGCTTTGGGTTGCCAGTTATGTTTATTCATCTTGTTACCATAATAGAGTTTCATAGTGCCATCCAACTTAGCCTTAAATCCTCTAGTACAATCTTCAGCCATAGTAGTTCACACGCACCTTGAACCATTGCTCTATACTCTGCCTCAACACTAAATCATGCATAACATTCTGTTTCTTACTCCTCTAAGTCACCAGAATTCCACCGAGAAAGGTACAATAATGAGATCTAATTTAGAGAAAAAATGTGTTCCTACCAATTCTTCGATTAGTTCTTCCACAACAGGAATCGGGTATTTATTAGGAACAGTAGCTTTGTTCAAAGTTCTATAAACGACACACAATGTTGAAAGACCCACCTCTGAATAAAGCCTTTAGGTTGGGAGATCTCAAAGGGGGACCTCGAAAGCCCTCACTTATTGATTGGGCATTTGGATTTTCTCCAGGTTTGATCTTTCTTTCGCATCAAAATCACTTGACTAGAATAGGCATTGTTACTTGAATGTATAACAACGAGAGACAGAAGCTCTTGAACCTACTGCTCAATTTCCGTCTTGTGTGCATGAGATAATGATAAGGTCATACACACACACTGGACCTTGGTTCGGTAACAAATTTATAGCATGATCCTTACTACGGACTGGAGGTCTGTGAGCTCACTGAAAAAAGGAAAAAAAAAAGTAAAATCCACAAACAATTGTTCTAATTGTTGTGATAGCCGTTTGGAAAGTTCAAAGGATAACCTAGGAATTTGATCAAGCGTACCATTAAATGAGACTAACAAAGCTTCAACATTAGACAACCAACTCTGAAGCGATATCTGAACCGGAGGAGATTCCCTGTAAATAGACCTCTTGACCTTGACGCCAGAACCTCATCGACTGGCTTGTAACCATTAAATTCCTACCACCATGTCCAAACTCCCCATCTTGAATAACATAGCATCGACAACGAATTCACATGTACCTAATGTAGTTGATACTGTCGAACACTTCTGAGACACAAAAACCTTGTGTCCATCGCCCAATTTAATATGCAACCCCGTTAATGAAGAAATTGAGAGATGCAAGGCGTCCGCTAATTGGCTAGAAACAAAATTATGGGTGGATCATGTCCACCAATAAAACAATAGGAATTCTACGCAGTAAACCTTCCAATTTGACTGTATTGAGCCCTGATTTGGGAAGATCACTTGCACCCAATAAACTAAATAACCGAGCACTCACCAATATCCCCGTTCTATTCGTTCAACGCCTTCTCACCTTTAATCAAATCAATCGACTGAAGATCTCCCTTGAACTTTGATTCTTCATCATCAAGCAAAAGCATAACTCTGTAATTCACCCCTAGGCATCTATGCGGTCGTCCAAATTGTTGGCCACATTTAAAGCACAACCCCTTTTTATGGCGATCCTCCTACTTTGTTCTAGTCAATGTATGAAAACCCTGATTTCAAGAAGGATGAGTTTTGCGTCGATTCATTCCGCACAGAACCACCCACCGTTGAGTTAGACGAAGTCCATGGTTTAAATCCATTTTGGCCCACTTGAGCGAACGGGGTCAGATAATTTTTTATTAGAATGAAGAGTGTCCATGATATATATACCTCGCTGTCAAAGGCGAGTTCTCCGATGGATGCAACATCTCCTCCACATCTTTTGCCAAATGTATGCCGTCTAGTCAGGTTTGAGGACAATGGAGACGTACCCATCGCTTCACCTCTTGGTTGTAAACCCGCCAAAAAGTCTCCCAAAGCTTAAGATTCAGGCAATCGAGGAACAAGGGATGATAGATATTCAAAATCATCTATCTAATCATGTATTTGAATTTACCTACTTAATTGTAGAGAACTATACATTCATATGGGTTCTAGATCTCTAGTCCACTAAATCTCTGTAGTAGTTCCCGAGTCAATTTCTCCTACGTCAATTCTCCATGGATTTCCTTTACCACTGCAAACCAGAGTTGCGCAACTTTAGACATGCTGATTTGAGCCAAATGAGTTCGCAAATTTTTCGGTGTCCTGTGAATCTCGAAATACAATTATGTTTTAGATCCAACCACGAGGATCAAATCCGAAGAATTCTAGAAGTTTGATCTTCTTCGTCGTATAGTGCAGATTCTCCCAGATCTCTCTAAATTGATATTGAATGGAGGCGAAGTACCAGAGTCCATTCGAGAACCTTCTCCTGTTTCTGGATTCTTACCTTGTTATTTCACCTTTAAGAGCATTAAAGTTTTGAATTCCTTCTGTTCAGCTTGATCTTCCTTCATGGTTTCCAGGGAAGATTTTCCAATCGAGCTTGTAAGCGTGTCTCCACAAATCTGGTAGGTCGGACCAATGTTACATAATCAAAGGATTATGAAATAAGCTTGGATTAGTAGGGAAATTCTAAAGGATTACAATATTGGGAAATGAAGAAGACAATGGAGACACGAAATCCACAGAAGATTCTAGGGAAGAATTCCCTTCTCAAAGCAGTTGGTAAGAGCCTAACTGAATGGTTATTTTCTACATGTCCCTACCCACACGCCAAACCTCCTTATTTTATAACCACAATATTAACTAATTCCCTTTATGTGCCTTGGGCCGTCTGACATATACTTTCCAAGTGGTAGGCTTAGAAATGGATGGTCTTAATTGACAAGCTTGGTTCAATACTGCATCAAACTCATTCACATCCTACTAGTTTCTTCGCTCCAATTAACTTCATTAAGTCATTAACTCCCAATATATATTTTTTCTAATGCCTCCATCTCCATATTCATAGTACGTTCTCATTTGTCACTGGCTAAAACCTTGAATAATCTAGAACAAATGGCAATGGTGTTTAAACCTTGTTAGTTTTTATATGCCTACAACATGTGTCACACAGAAACACTGCCAATGAGTATGTAAACCTGGGGTCGTACACAAAGAATACGTATGCTTCTATTTACCAGAAACCCGCATTACGTCATGATTGACTATTAAGTATTCTTGTAGAATAATCAATAATGTGTTAAAAGTTTAATTATGATAATTACAAGGTGTTATATGTAAATGTGTGTGTGTATATATATATATGTATTATGTTTAAGATAATTATATATCTTCACACATAAATACAGAACCTCATTTGAGTTATAGTTTATCTATAATTCAAAAAATCCATATAAATAAGGTGATGGGCTTAAATCTAAAAAGGTTGATCAATCTTTTAGATTTCTTAGGCATCAGATAAAATAGAAAAGTAACATTTAGTTCTTTTCTATAAACACTTACTAGATTAGGGTTTTGGGCTAGGACTCGTTAGAGGCTACAATGTGTTCTTGTGTGGTTTTGCAATAGGTTACTCTCTAAGCACTTCTGATTTGTTTAGAATTTGTTTTAAATGTCACTGGATCTGGCTTAGGTTTCTTTCCAGAAAAGTTTTCCAAAGATAATGTAACCTAAAACTATTTTTCGTTGCATTTTTATGGTTACAAAATTAATTTGAAACGCTACAAACCGACAAGGAAAGCTTTATGAGATGCAAACTATGGTTGAAAGGATAAGAAATTTGCAAGAGGGTATAGAGGTCGGCTTTCACATTCAACTCTTTTCCTAATAGCAATAAGGTCTTGTTCCTCATTGCCGGTTTCAGATTGAAATAGTACATAAATTGTTACCTCGTTCTTAGGATTTAGGTTCGCATTCTGGACCTACACAGATTCAAGGATAACTTGATTCCTTCTTAAGTACACTTTGTCAAACCTTACATTATCAAGGGTCGGATTTAGGCCATGTTTGGCAACCATAAGCTAGCTTATCATTTTAAGCTTATTGATACGGCCCCATTTAGATGGCAATAAGCTTAGCATATAAGCTAAGGTATTTAAACGCTACTTGAAGTAGCATTTCAGTAAGCTCCATAAGCTTTTTGCCACTTTCTTCCAATTATGCCCCTTGATATTGTTAATCGTAATCAAATGACAATTTATTCTTGTTTAATATCAATTTTTTAATTATTATTAACTGCAAAATATTAATTATTATTAAATGTAAATTTTTAATTAATATAATTATTTTTAATTATTAATTAATATTAATTATTTGGAATTATAATTAATCGTATTAATTATTTTTATATTATGATTTATTATTATTATTCAATAGATTTAGTCGGTCAATTATCAATTTTAACATTTTTTAAAATGTTAGTGTAAGTTGCATAAAGATTAAAGTTATATTTCTTTATGTCATAAATAAAAGACATTCGATAAACGATTTTAATAAGATATCCAATTCAACTATTATTAATTATCGTTTTGGAGACTTATCAATTAATTAAGCTATGCACGGTTGACAAATTTTGCTTTTATTCATATTAGTTGTAACGCTTA